TGAAACATTTCCACTAATTCAACAATAATTTCAAATATCTTTGGGTTCAAATGTGCATTTAGGGGTCTGAAGGAGATGATTAAGGTGAAATGTAATATTTGAATCCTCCTGAATCATGCTTCATTGAACACAGACCAGAGTTTGGATGGCCACATCCTGGGGACCGTATTCCCTGGGGTGCTTTCACTGCCACGTGCCTTGCTGACTGTGCCAACACTGTAATGCCTGGACCTTTTTTTCCCAGCAGGGACACCGAACTCTTTATGCGGCTGGCCATGCTGAGAAGTGAGAAGCTCACTGAGATGCCTTGTAGACATGCATCGCATAGGCCAGCAATTTCCTTGCTCCCCCTTTCCAGGAAGACTGCCATGGTTTGCTATCAAAGGGGCAGCGTCTCCAAGCTCCTTGTTGCTCTCCTGCCGTGACCTCTACCCAGTGCCTTCTTCCCTGGCCCTGCACCTGCCTATGAGGTCTGGAGCTCTGGGGCCCGCACTTTATGCTGATTGCTCCGCTGACCCTCCAGCTAGTACTTGCATTGTGAGTACTGAGCTCCTAACTCTGTGACTCAGGAGGCTCTGTGTCAACAGCCATGGAACTAAATTAGTAACCTGTAGAGTCATATTTGTGGGAATGCTCCTACTCTACGTCTCGTCTTTGCCTTCACATTTGTGTAATTCGGATAGTATCCTAGCAATCAAACCAAAAGACACAGATCATATCTCCAGCAAGATATGGCAACAAGCTGGCCCCCAAACCACAGGTGAGCCACTGGGGAAAATGACTTCCTGTATTATCAGCAAGTGTGACGATGATAACTGTTTTTAGGGAGGTTGAGGGAAGGCCAAGCATTTCTGTTGCCCTGAGATCCAGTGAGACAGAAAGGTGGCTATGGCAAGATAAAAGCAATAGGGCAAACTCCATGCTAAGGAGAATGGAAGAAATTCTGACAGCAAAATATAGACTGAGCAGGGTGGCGACAATGAGGGCAAAAAAGAAAAAGAAAAGAGAGAGAGAGAGAGAGAGAAGGAGGGAGGGAGAGAGGACGTTTCCCAATGAAAGTATGAGTGAAGATAAAAGCAAGCAGATTTCTAGGGGCACCTGGGTGGCTCAGTCGATTGAGCTTCTGACTTCTTCAGCTCAGGTCACAATCTGAAGCCCTGCGTCAGGCTCTGTGCTGACAGCTTGGTGTCCACTTTGGATCCTCTCCCTCTCCCTGGCTCACTCTTTCTCTCTCAAAAATAATCAACATTTTAAAAAAAGGCAAGCTGATTTCTAAAAGTAGAAGGATAATGTTTTCCTTTCTTTATCACTTTGTGAACATATTTGAAATAATATTCTAGATCTAGTCAAGCTATCTTAGCCCATTTTTCTCTTTTAAAAGTATGGAGAATCTAATTTCACTTAAACTGAAAAATTGAAAAAGATCATGATTAAAGCACACAAGAAAAAAAAAAAAAGAACAGCGAGCAAAATAATAGCACTTAAGACATCAAGGCATTTGAGAAAATAAGCAAGTTGTACCATAGTATGTTGCAACAAACTACAATTATTTATGAAAAAAAGAAAAACCATGAAGAAAAAACATGTATCAGAATTTAGAAAAACTCAATTTAAAGTCTTAAAAAATCTAAATGCAATGAAGAGAGATATTAATGAGATAAGAGACAAAGGGATATAAAATATAGGAGAGTATTCGTCACTTATAAAGTAGAGATCTCCTATGATGAAACCCAAATTAATGAAACAAAAATATTTTAAAAATTAGAATTGAAAAGTTTTCTGAAATAAGACTCGAATGCATATACTATGTATATACTTAGGAAATGACAAAGTAAGCAATTTTGAGACATTCCTATAAAGCTACTGAACTTTAAAGGCAAAAAGAAAATTCCTTGGAAATTCAGAAATGAGACAAACACTCACTGGAAAAAGAAAACAGCTGTCATTATGCTTTGTGACAGTAATACTCCATAGAAGAAGAAAACCAGAGTGAAATATTTAAAACCCAGTGAAGAGACTAGGAGTTGAGGCTTTTCTATCTAATCAAATTATGTTCAATGTCCGGGTCCACAGATAAACTGTCACTCAGGCACAAAGACACAGGAAATGTTGTTCTTATGCTCCTCCTCTGAGGCATCTACTACAGGACAGAATGTAGACAGCTCAATGACTGATTATCTTCTTAACATGGATAAATCAGTATGTCTTCAGACTAGAATGTGGGCAAAAGAAGTGGATGAAACAGAAGCATTGCACACCGTGGGACACACACAAAATGTAGAGGAGGCAGCTTACTGGATCACATAAATATTAAAGTAAAAGTAAGAGTCACAACAAAGGTCAAGTCCAGCCACAGCCTGTTTGGACAAGTAGGATTTTGTTGGAGTACAGTGCCATTTTGTTTATATACTGCCTCTTCCTTCTTTTAAGCTGCAACAGAAATTAACCTAATTTACATAACGTTCTTATTTTTGCATAGCCAATGAACTAGGGGTTGATTATAGGCCATTAAGAGTCATTAATAAGTGAAACAGTGATTTAAATATATGAGTTTGTATTTCAGACTCAAGAGGCAGAGGTCAACCACACAATGTTAATAACAATAGTAAAAGCATCAGGCATTAAACAAACTAACATTTAGCTTGTAGACTTCATTCACTTCTGAGAGGCTAATTCAGGAACCTGCTAACTGGTCTAAGCTCTACATGCACACGTGGGCAGATGTAAGAATGCTAATGGGTGTATTAGCTACATTTTTATTAGCCTTAGGATTACATTAAAGTAATGAGAACTAGCTGTATCACATTCATATAAAAGCTATTGACATGTCTTTATCCCAAGAAGTTGGCACTGTTTCTTGAAAATTGCCAAGTTCTATGACCTAAATATTTAGCAGCGGTTTCATTCTAAATCAAACTGTTCATTTTTTTCCTCAAAGATGACAAATACAGTTTTCAAATAGCTTTTACATTTTTCTTAGTTGCAAGAAGGTTATTTTACACTAACCTTTTGACTCCTGGTTTAGTCAATTCAATTGACAATTTGAAGCTTCCGCTACATTTTATAAAAATATAATTGATGCAGTTTAAATATTTTAAAAACTGAAGATGCTGGCCTCCTATTTTTAAATACAAAAAATTAATGTTTATTCAGTTTTGAGGAGAGAGAGAGCCTGAGTGGGGAGGGGCACAGAGAGAGGGAGACACAGAATCTGAAGCAGGCTCTAGGCTCCCAGCTGTAAGCACTGAGCCTGACACAGGGCTCAAACCCATGAACCTTGAGATCATGACCTGAGATGAAGTCAGATGCCTAACCGGCTGAACTACTAAGGTGCCCCTAAATTTTTTTTAATATTTATTTTTGAGAAAGAGAGACAGACTGTGAGCAGGGAAGGAGCAGAAAGAGAGAGAGAGAGACAGGATCTGAAGCGGATTCTGTCAGCATAGAGCATGACGTGGGGTTTGAACTCACGAACTATGAGATCATGACCTGAGCCAAAGTCGGACGCTTAGCCAACTGAGCCACCCAGACGCCCTTTCCTGCTATTTTTAAACAATTTGACTATGCAAGTGATGAATAATCATTGCACACAACTTAATTCCCTTAATTCCAAAGATACACCATGTATAATCTGTTTTCAAATGACTTGGATGCACCCTTATGAGCAAGGTATACAGCCCTGATCATCACTGTCACGACCATCATCTACTGAACTGGAAGAGAAAACTCGAGGGCACATCTGTTCTCCTTTCTCACACTGCCTGGAGCTCTCTCTCACTCTGGCATATGCATGCTGCTGGGGCCTCTCACTCGCTCCACCTTTTCCCTGCCCCCCCTTCTACAGTTGCTGATTGAGGGAGCACATACACGGAATGTCCAGGAAGGGACTGGAGCCAAAGCTCACTGTTTCCAAGCCTGTTTCCCACTTCAAGCCCTCTCCGGGCCTCTGTTCCCCTAAAGGTTAAATTAGATTTGTTTTTGTCTGGTTTTTTAGATTCTTTTTTTTTTTTTTTAATTTTTTTTTTTTTTTTTAATTTCTAGGAGAGAGAGAGAGAGA